CTGGCTGACTGGCTGACTGGCTGACTGGCTGACTGGCTGACTGGCTGACTGGCTGATAACTGACTAATAACTGTTATTTTTTGGACTTAGTGGGTCTATCTTAAATAATCCAATAAAAGGAAAAGAAGACACCAACCTGATATTGCATTCTGTTTCATTTATCCAGTGGTCAATAGTGGAATTACAGAAGCAAAAACTCCCATTCTGCACTGCTGCAAATACATATCTGTATAACAGTATTAAAACAAGATAAATAATCATAATTTACAGCACAAATGGCTATATTAGATTATCTACCTTTTTACTAATCAAATTTATATTTAGGTCATTAGCTACTAAGATAATATTATTGTCCACAATAAGTATATTATTATTATTACCTTTCCTTGCTACATAATCCCACACAGCTGAATGGCTCAAGAAGAGACTCATTATTAATGTTAAACACCTTCCATGAATCAGTGGCATTGATACACCCTTGATAAAATTGTGCTAAAATTTAAGAAAAAAACAATTAGCTCAATTTCCTTGCACAGGGAATATAAGCATTTTAAAAATACAGTCAGGATAATAGACCTCCTCAATTCAGGCATAAAGAAAGGATACTCTTGGGAATTATATGTGGCCTGAATTGGGAAAACATTACGCCCAAGCTGAGGAGGTCTATAGCAGCTCATGATTAAAGTGTGAATAAGGAGCAGCTCAAAGCACCACCAATTTACAGGGTCTTAAGAAAATGAGGAGAAGGTGCTGCCTTTCTAATATCATCTACAAATGGTTAGACCTCTCATGGCTCAGATTGGTTTGTGGGATGGGTATGGGGATTTATAGCAAAGTTGGTGCTGATGTCACCAATTGTTATCAATGTACCAACCAGAGATCTACTGGCTAGCTACTGCATGAAACATAGAGATCTTTTGTTTTAATGGTTGGCACATTTGAATGAGAAAAGATTCCTGAGGTCATTGTTTGTAAACAGTGAATTTTCATACCTCAAACTATAAAGTTATCTGAAATTTCTATATTTTCCCAAAGGTATGAGAACTTCTCATGCAAATTTTGAGTAACTGCGAACAAAGTCTGAGTATTCCTGCAGTCTTATTATGTAGTCTTAACTCAATTATACTTGTATCATATGCTATGGATGTTAATTATAAAGTCGTATAAATGTCCGTATAAATATGACAGTGTGCTGAGTTGTAAAACATTTTRGTTTATTCGAAACTTTTAGAAATATCAATTGCATGATTTTTCTTCTTTTTCCCCCCGAGATTCACGTAAGCTGAGATTCGAGTATGTAGTAAGCTTGATGTTCTAATAAGGATCCAAATTCTAACTTGTAAATTCGCTAAAAAAAAGGTAAAACAACTTATTGGAAAATCGTTTGAAGGTCCAATATAATGTTGTTTATGTTTAGACCAAAATAATCAAATTATAAGTTCAATGATGTTCATTGGTGCGTTTTATAGAGTGGATAATAAACTASATTCGGTTTAGAAGAATGTGTTGTGTTCGACAACTCGAGCGTAACTTCGATCGTGACCTCTTGTGATTTGAAGTGTTTTGATCAAGCCGAGCCGACTTGCCAAAAAGAACTCCTATTGCTACGATTGTATTCTGATCGAAAAACATGCATAAAATAAATAACTACGCAAAATTAAGATCCGTTCAAGAAGCGCTCCCTGTAGGAATCTGCGATTTTAGAATTCCCCAAAAAGTTTGTCTTGACTTGCAAGGAAAACTTGTGCATAAAAACATTATAAGCGATAAGATTACTTTGCTTCTTCATGCTTCGGTGCCGAGTTCATTGTAATATTGGCAATACAAGGATCAACTCAGACCTTAAAATCCAGGGAAATAATAGCATCTCAAAGTATTTCATGAGATGCCAATGGTTACCGTAGGGAATAAATAATTTATTTTAAAGAATTTCAAGAAAGTGTGAAAGCCTTGCGCAGAGAAATAGATAAGCACATACCTTCGTGTGTCCGACCACAACATCTTATTATAACCCATACAATGCACCAAAGACCCAATACTCTATCCATTTAACCAAGTAACTGTAACAATGGATTAATATTTAGGTAAAAAGTAGAAATTCGCCGTAGGAAACTGCTTCTTTTTTTCGACAAATGTAGTTGAAGCCATGTCTCTTCACGTCTTCTTGTACTGTTGTCGAAGAACTATCACCCCTCTAGTGCCCAGGCCGGGACGTTTTACTAGTGTATCGCATTTCTTGGCACACTCATAAACAAGTTATTAGTGCTCCTTGTTAGACAGGCTAGAGCATAAAACTGATCAAGGACAACAGGCGTATAACATAATCAATTTTTAATTGGCTCCTAGCAACCCTTTATGCTTAATATACTGCAAAAAACCGCAAAAAAAKAATATCGCGTTCAACAAGGCGTTATACTGCTGTCCGACTGGTATCAATTTGCTTCCACCCATTTTATTTAAAGTAACTCATAGAACTGAATAAAATGGATACGCACTTGAAATTGTATTCGTTGAATGAGTGAGATATATAGCTTGAAATATATATCTAACTTAATTTAAAAAGGGCGGTTTTTGACATAAACGATTTGCTCTAAATTTCTCGGCCACCATAGCGAAGCAATGGGCGGATTTAGGGGGATGGCATACTCCCTTTTCATTTTAAAATATTTTTTCCCTTCGATATGTTTGTGTGAAATATACCCAGAACGCCGGCAGACTCCTGGAAACCACATTTTACATGAAATTCATTGTAGAACTTCACTCGAAACCGCCTGCATTCATGGCTTGGCGTTATCGGTTTTCAGTGAAAGAAATGCCCTATAGTTTTATGGCGATTCATTTCTTGGTAGTATGGGTAACAATAAGGTTTTATAAGAGAACATAAAAGTCTCTTGCAGTTTCAGTGCTAGTGACTTTGGGAGTACGAAAGACTTTGTCAAATATTTCAACACTTATTGCGTATTTTTTCCCGCTCTACTTTTAAATTTTTGAATTTTCCGTCATCGTTGTATGTCTTTTTTTTTTTTAGGATGTCCTTTCCTCTAACATTTCTCATTTTTTATATTTTCTTTTCTTGGCTTCTCCCTTCTTTTTTTCTTAGTCTCTTCTTTCCATTTAATTCCGTTTCTTTTCTCGTTTTCTTTAAATTGATTATTATTATTATTATCATTTTCTTTATTTGTCTAATTTACTTTTTTTTTTCTTTTTCTTTTCTTTTTCTTTTCTTTTTGTTTCCTTTTTCGCTAATTATTTATTCCTGTTGTAAGTCAGCGCCCTACCCTATTAGTTCCAGTAACTACCGTGATAACCCGAGGAAGGCCTGGAAGATATTGTTTTCAAGTCGCCCAAAAGAAGAAAAGGGCTTTGTATTTGAAACACGACAAGAAAGAACGACATTTTTATGCCTTTATTTTAATTCATATTGACTTTAGAACCTTATTTTATAAAATACATGTATTTATAGAATGCAGAAATATGAGAAACTGGAAAAGATTGGCGAAGGTAAGCGAGTGATCAGAGGGTTGAAGATGATGTCATAATTTTGGTTTATACCGGCTTGGGCGAATTTAATTGTCATTTTGTGATTTTGATCTGTCAAAGTCGTTCATAAAGGTAATTTCTGTCATTTAGGAACCTATGGAACAGTATTTAAAGCAAAGAATAAAGAGAGCCATGAGATTGTAGCGCTTAAACGTGTGAGACTTGATGATGATGATGAAGTAAGTTGCTGAACAAAATATGATAATTTTGGAAATCAAACAAAATCGATGACAGCAAGATCTTTCGTGATGGAATTTTTTAAATTTTTTGTTAGGGTGTTCCAAGCTCAGCCYTGAGAGAAATATCTCTTCTAAAGGAATTAAAACACAACAATATCGTAAGGTTAGTCTGGTTAATACCTCGTTTTAAAAAAAGTTAATAATAATATAATTTATATAGTGCTATACATACATTGCTTTCATAAGCGTTTTAAGGTTGTTTCTCAAAAAATAAGCCTATCTTAGTTTCTTTTTTTCTTTTTGTTGTCACCAAAACAACGTGTCATTTATAAGTTATTATAAAGTCTTTACACTGTACATTACAAGGTCAGAAATTAAGATGAACAAATTACTTATATTTTCAAGGTTTTTCTTTTCTAAAAGGGGAACTAAATTGTTTTTATTGTTTTAAATTAAAATTTTAGAAAAGGTCATACCAGGTGATCTCAGGAATGCACGCAAAGGGATGTAGTTTTTTTTGTTTTTCTGGGTACTTYGCTTTTCATTTTATTTATTTATTTTTTCATTTTTCCTATCACTTTATTTTTATGGGGTCGTAGTATTCCCAGTGTTGTAGTTTTTCCGGGGTCTTCAATCTCCAGTCTACCTGTAAGTTTTTACAGCCTTTGTTTTTCAGACGCCTGAGCTAARAGTAGTTAAATTCGACAATGCTTTCTCTTATGGAGACAGCATGGTCGAGTGGTCATAGCGTCACCACCTTTACGACATTCGCAAGAAAGATTTATCTAAACCAGTTGCTCGGCACTTTAACTCTGCTAATCACTCTGAGCTTAATGCTATTGTTTTTGGTCTGTGTTTAACCCACTGCAGCAACAATCATCGTAAAACRAAAGAAATGAGCTTAATTCATTCACTTGGCACCGTTAATCCCCACGGGATGAACGAACGCTTCGCTTATAATTAAGTTATTTCCCACCTATTGTTGCTTTCGATCCTTTTGTTTTCCTTTGTTTTATGGCTTGCTTTTTTCTTATTGGTTTGTTTTCTCTCTCCTCTACTATRTAAACATCTCTCTGACTCTTACTTTCTATTGACTCCGACGAAGGACTAACGTCCGAAACATCAGTTCCTATTTTCACTACGGTGTATAACTTATCAAGATCTACAATAACTGTTTCATTAGAAACACCGACGCAGTCCACGCTAGYGTTTACTAGCCATCATCTATTTATTGTTATTAATTAATTATTATTAATTAGTACACAATAGAATATCTGGTGTTGAAGAAATACAGAGCACTTGCTGTGTGCAGTTGTATAAACCTGGTGCAACTATTTAAAAATTAAACTATCCAAAACAATGCAAATCCTTCAAATAATTTGGATAGTGTTCAACAATCAAACGTAATTGAACTAGCCAATTTGAACTAAAATCAAATCATAATGAACTTCCACACCATAATTCTAATTTGATTATAAATATTCTATTGCCTAAACAATCAGTAAACAATCAAATAATTAAAGCTCAATTGAAATTTTGTTCAGTTTCATTCCATTATGCAGTAGTTACTCCAGGCTAGGTATRGATAACAAGGGGGATAACACAAGAGAAATGTTAGGAGAAGTTATGTACAGTCTTGGACAAAAACAGTTGAGAATTTTTCATCCAAGGATCATGAAATAGTAGAATTTCCCTTATTAAAAAAAATATTGTCAGTACCCCCTCTCCCCCATGACAATGTTGGTCACAGCAGGCAAAGCAGCCCTGTCTCCCTCGAAACAACATTGTTTAGGGAGGGATCAGAGGGGGTCATTTTAATGGGAATTTTTCATGTTTTTCTCAAAATTTTTGACCAAGATTGTAGGCTCCTTTTTTGCAGAGTTCTTAGTGTCTGTTGTAATGTCATTAGTCTGTATCATATTAGTATGCATAACTGGAGGTTACAGCTGTACCAAGTGGTTACCAAGATGGCTTGTTCAATTTTGATAACTTTCAAAACATCACTTGTACTATAAATTCCAAATTGTACTCAAGATCATGTGATTTCCTATACTCATTTTATGATTCTCTAACAGACTCCATGATGTCTTGCACAGTGARAAGAAGTTAACTCTGGTTTTTGAATTCTGTGACCAGGTATTATTAACTCACCTGCTAATCATGAGAAATTGTTCTAAAGTGATCTCTCCGTTCAGGCTTTGATTAAAAATAAGCATCCACTTTTTCTCAAAATCGAAGAACCTCRAGATCATTTATTTATTAAAGCTATTATCACTCACACATTATTCTAGAATTTAGTGTGTTATAATATGCTGGTTTTCAAGAGGGGCAAAAAGAAACCTCTACCATAATCATGGTAGTCTCCCAACCAACAAACTTCACAAAAAGACATTGCCAAGTGCAGACCACAATGGTGAGAGGCGAGCTGTAAACCACCACCCCACCCATGCCACCCAAGAGAGGTGATAATTAGAATAACTTTGTTCCATGCTCCATTCAGTAAATGATAATGAAACTCATATTATGTACTCATTGACTGAGTGGGACAGCCGTACGGGAAAATGTTTGGCTCAAGGTGATGCCGTACGGACCGAGTGTAGCGAGGTCTGTACAAATGACCGAGAGCTGAAATATTTTCCCGTACAGCCTGACCTAACTCAGTCAATAAGCATTTTATCACATGACCCTCACAAAAAGAAAAATAATAAAATAAAAGAAAGAAAATATGGTCGCAGGTTTCGAGCAAGGTCATAGGGATTCCCACGGCCCTGCTCACTCAAAGCCGTACAGCCCTGCTCACGCCATTTTCCTGAAGATTTCTTAAGAGCGTGCGCCCAGGCAGATATGGGTCATATGATAGTTAAAAATATCAAGTGAAAAAAAAAAAAGAAAAAAAAAAAAGGCTCGCAATTCAATTGATAAAAACAATACCTTATAGTTTCTCAATTCAGTATTAGATGGTAATAAGAATATGTTATTTCCTTTCTAGGACCTTAAAAAGTACTTTGATAGCTGTCAAGGAGAAGTTGATGCCCATGTTGTTAAGGTTCAGCAGTAGTATATTTGGTAGTACTTTTTTTTATTTTAGAAACAGTTGAAGCAGATATAATACCTTACACTCCAGAAGTTATTGTTTGAGTGAATGCCAGACCTTGAGGATAGTTAACCATGTCTGGAACCCAGCTAGTAACAGAGCAAATAGGGCTGGAACATAACATTTTTTCTTACTTTTCATGATAACCAAATTTATGTCTTCTTTTGTAAGATGGTTTTAATTGTTGTTTTTTTTCAGTCATTTATGTTCCAACTTCTCAGAGGACTTGCTTTTTGCCATAGCCATAATGTTTTACACAGAGATCTCAARCCTCAAAACTTGCTCATCAACAAGGTACTGATTCATTCATTCATCTGAAAAAATATTTATTTTTTTACAATTTTCATTTTGTTTCAAGATTCTAAGTTGTTTTTACATTGTATGTACCAGGATGGTGAGCTGAAATTAGCTGACTTTGGCCTTGCAAGGGCTTTTGGTATTCCTGTGAGATGCTATTCAGCAGAGGTACCTAAAAAAATACTATTAAATGCAATTGCAACAATATATTATTCTATTTGTAATATATTATTCTTTTATAAATTAATATACCACAAAAACTTTGCAAGATAACATTTTCACAATCCTCTAACTGTTACATACTTTCCTGCAGTACAGAACTCAAGTAATGGTTATAAATCTCATGTTCTGATTGATTGATAGCTACTGTAGCAAATGCTTTGCCTTTAGGGGAGCACACAGCACATACATGTCATGCACATGCACACATTATATATATCGCATCATTCAGGCTGGTATCCAAATAGCGGTCACTGTAATTTTTTTTTTCAATATATATTGAAAAATGAAAAAAGTTGGTTTCTCTGTTGAACCGTTGTGTGCAGTTTTGTATAATATTAGCAGTTGTGGATTGGCAGTTGATACAACTCTTGGGAAGTGTTGAGAAGCACTACATGTATATGGGAGTTACCCTTGGTACATGTATTTAAAACTTTTGAATGTCATGTAAATTGTGTAACTGCCTAGTAAGTTATATATCATTTGGATCCTTAGGTGGTAACCCTGTGGTACCGCCCACCAGATGTGTTGATGGGAGCTAAACTTTACTCAACCTCAATTGATATGTGGTCAGCTGGTTGCATATTTGCTGGTAAGTGCAACTGAGCAAATCATGCAATAGATGTTTTGCACCATCCTGTGTTCACACCCTTATATGGCTTGGGCTTCCTGTGATTAGATGGCAGAACAATWAAATCCCTTTGCTCTACGGCCTCATCCAAATTTAGAAGTCCTTGGAATTTTCCTTGTCCAATTATTTCTTAATTGGACAGCATGGAGTCCTATTACATATACTAATTGGCATTGAGTCTTGAAAGGAATTATGGGTCATAATATTGTGATACCTGGTATGTCTACCCCCAATAACATCTCATATTTAGTGTCTGAGACGTTTACATGGAATCATGATCAATATGTTTTATTTTGATCCATTTCACTATACAATCGACCTTCATTCTTTTTTCCTTTTCTGACAATAGAAATGGCAAATGGAGGAAGACCATTGTTTCCAGGAAATGACATTGAAGATGAATTACGGAGAATATTTAAGTATCCTCTTTATAATTGAAAATGTATTATCTGTGCTTTATAGCTACTTAAAGTGCTTGCAGAAAATAATATAAAATTGGATATTCTCTGAAGATATGTACATTGAAAAAAGGTGTTTGGTACTTACCATTCCATTTTATGCATCCTTGACTGAACTTCAGAATTCTTGGCACACCCACCAATGAATCTTGGCCTAATGTAACTAAACTACCTGACTATAAAGTAAGTAATGTAACTTTCAGTGGTCATTTTAATCAAAGCTAAGTATAGAGCTACAGGTACAAAGTCCCAGAGAGAGGATTTTTGATGGGGGGGGAGGGGGTACTTGTTACAATGGACAAAGGCGGGAACACCTATGAGGTTTCAGGGGCAGGCTTCACCAAAAAGAATTCTAAATTGAGACACTTGGTATTTGGATTTCTAGCATTTTGAGGGGCATTTACAACATATTCATTCCATTGGCTATTGATATTTTAAATAACAAACAAGTAATTTAATGGTGGCACCCCTCCCCTCCCTCCCTGCAGTCCCTGCACTTTTAGGATGTCAATTGAAGTTTTTGGTTTACCTTTCATTCAGCTAGATAAGTTGATTTTTGAAGTTTGAGCAAATCTGTGCCTTAGAGTTTCTTGCAGTTCCTTTTTCCTAGTGACTCCTTTATTATTTCTACAGCCTTGTACCATGTTACTTTTACTATTTAAACTATAAAGTTAAAGTGTTCTCCCATCAGTAAAATCGTACCCTGGGGTCCAGAGGAATTATTAATTATCACTCAATGACATTTCCTCACTAGCTCAGGCTACTAAAATTGGAGGTACATCAATTGCTAATATTGACCTTCACTATGTTGCAAATTATAATGTTAATATATTTGATGTAATTGTTGGCCTTTATCTCTCAGGAATTTGCGCCTCAAGGCACATCTGTATCTCTAGAACTTGTTGTACCAAAACTTGGTGTTACAGGGAGAGACTTATTACAGGTAAGAATGCTTCTTTTTCTTTTTTTTTTCCGTTTTTTTTTATCACAAACATATGAATGCCTTATGGTGATCTTCCATCAGATGTTTATCAACAGTTCAATAGGTAATGCACTTTGGATTCTGATATCAAGTGCATATTCATCAAAATAAACATAGCATGTTATGCCTAAAAATGAGAAAAATGTTTTGTTGTCAGTCAAAGTCAAGCACTATGGTCGACATGTGCTACCTTAAGCTCTTCCCACTTTGTAATTCATGCCTTGGGTCACAGGTTCATTTCCTTACTGAGCCACATGTGTGAGTCGAGTTTGTTTCACTGATGTGCTGCCCTCCCCCTTGCCAGGAGAGTTTTCTCCAATTTAGCTGTTTGTCCTCAGGCTCCATTTGAAAATTCATTTTTACTCAAACTCATTTCCTTTCTCTTAGACGGAGGGGAGGGATGCACTAGACCCCTTGCATGTGACGTCAAAGCAGCTCATTTTGGAGGGCAAAAATAGAATGTCAATCTCCTGAGAATTGAAAAACTATTGTTATGTCCTCCAAATTGAGCTGCATTCCGACGTGCTGCAAGGAGTCTATGCCCTCGTAATAGTTTAACTTCATTTTAGATACCAATCGTTGTCAGTTTTCGAATTATAGCCGCTGCGTACGAGACTGTCTTCCAATCTGACTTCTATTATTATACTTTTTTTTAACAGAAATTATTAGTACTCAACCCAGCACACAGAATATCGGCAGAAGACGCCATGAAACATCTATACTTCGCTGATCTTAGTCCAACATTCAGAGGCTAACAAGGAATGTACATGGTGACTATATATACCTTGATTATCTACGGTATCTTCTCTTCTTCTTCTTCTTCTTACCTATATTCTATGTGCTGATGCACTATAAGTACCATAAGTTAACTACGAAGACAAAGGTTTTCCCGTCATCCGCCGCTTGCAGTGGACCCAACACCATGCCGACTGTGTTTTCCACTTACACAGCCTTGTATTGTAAAATGATAAAATACATAATATTAAAATCAAATTTTAACGATCTATACATAGACAGTAAGCCACATTCATTCAGACACTTTGGACGGTCGGTGTTGGTCACTCCCCCTTCCCTCCCCTCCCTCCCTATTTGTGTGTGTAGGGGAGGGGGGTTCCGAGGGATGAACTCTGTTTGTTGGGTCAAATTTTCTTCGCAATATTTTTCAGTTTCAAACTAAGAATCGCAATGCAGACAAGTCTTTTTTGCATGAAACTCAAACAAAGAATCATCATGTTCTTAAGAAAGTGATATACCCTAGATCAAGTTATGCGTTGAAAAGAATTCGTAATGAAGAGGTCTAGAGTTCGCTAATAGCATTTGTTTGCTCGTACCCTGGGTGGTCCCTCTTCAGAAACCTTTAGAATTTATTGCGCTCTTAATTCATCTCCACTTCAAATATTTSAATCTTCTAGAGCTTATCAAATCTAAGAGGCAGGGAAGATCTGAAGTCGTTCATCATTTGCCTCAGCTTTTAAAAACATGGGGTCAGCTTATCGAGGTCATTTATTTGTTGAGAAGAAGAAAAACAACAAATATCCAAAAGAAATTAAATTTATGAGAAAATATATACTAGACCTCAAGAATAAGTAATCAATTATTAATTAACACTGATCGAAGGCTCGAGGCCCAAAACATCAGAAAAAAATTTTCTTTTCTATACGATCCTCAAATATTTTTATCTTGATTAACGATGTTGCTCACTTCAAACTTTTCATTATTCTATAGAATATTGGGAAAAAATGACCAAAGCATAAGGAAATTGGTTACGAATTCCGCCTCTTCCTTTCCTTGATCCTCCTTGGCTTTTCGTTTTAGTGACCACTAGACATCCCTACAAAGGGAAACACCAATTGACCCTTTTAAAAACTGGATAAGTCGGATATCAGTTTAGTTATCCCCCACTTGTCACCTAAACCGGCAATTCTTAAAGTCAAGGCACTTAGTAACCCTCAATAACGACTGGWATAAACATTTATGTAGTGATAGATAACTATGAAGTTTGATAACATGAGACACTCATTCGAGTGAAGGCATTTAACCCGCAAAATCAAAAAAAAAATACTAGTCGACATGTAATATCAAAGACACACAAAAGAAAACAATGGAATTAGGGTATACTAAAGTGTATTAGTTTAATATCTATTTCACGGGTCTAGTGACTTCACTCTATAATCATATATACAGGGATGGACTCGGATATAGAGTGGAATTTAGACTCAGATATAGAGATTCGTGCCCTGTGATTGGTCGAGCGGCCAGTGACTCTGAGACGACAATCACGGCTCGAGCGGTGATTATGAGGTCTCCCAAAGTTTGCCAGAGCGAAAGTAATATTAAAACGTTTTTTAATTCTGAATTTCAACTTAAACAACTAATACYCTCAGGCTGATTGATTTCGGGGAATATTTATCTCGCCACTCGAAGACTTGCGGTTCGGTAAATATTCACCTATAATCACTTTGCGTTCGGCGAATAAGTGTTAAATAACTGTCTGAGCCCGGTTGTACGAAGCCTGGATAGCGCTATCCAACGGATAAATCCTTATCCAGTGGATAAGTCGATGCTGTTATCCAATAAATGTATCCACTGGATAAGATTTATCCGTTGGATAGCGCTATCCAGGCTTCGTACAACCGGGCCCAGTAGGATTATTTATATAGGCGTGGATGTATTTGTAGCTCACTAATATGAGACTGCTTATCACGTTGCAKTGGATCGATAGTGTTCACATTTGCATCGCTTTGGTCCACAACCCCAACCCCCATCCCCCATCCCTTTTGGGCCGCTATGCAGGCTCAGTATCTTCACAATCTTATATACTCTTTACTGATRTCGTGCTTCCACTAATGTTGCTCGTTTTTATAGGCATAAGAGAAATTGATAGATGATCGATGATAGTCAGTTCAGTCAAGTTTATCTTCAATGATCTCCGCCAAAGTTATTCATTATAGTGACTTACACATTTTTGGAGCACCAGATAAAATCATAACCCTTTCTGCTCTTGCAGTATATTTTAAAAAGACGGTCCTGTTCGGTTGTTTGTTTTTAAATTTTCGTTGATTTTTTTTTTTTTTTTTTCTCCCTAAAAAAGTATATTCCATAAAGACAAAATAAGCGGATTAGAGCATTGCATAAGACAAAATAAGATTAGACCAAAGTTTTAAACAAGTACCATACTGCATTTCAAAGATGACATTGCAGAAAAGATTACCTAAACTAGACAATACTAATTCTTTACATCTGATTGACAGGAGTAAATAGACCGTTAATAAACAACTTGGTTCAAACTAGCTCAGTAGCCCAAACGTTACCTCAGACTATAAACATATATAGGTCTGAGTTTGGTTTTTCTGCTTTTAAAAGTAAGAAGAACTGAGTTTGCCATACTAAAGGACATTGGATTAAAAAAACCTTAAGAGAAAGTATCATCTATACTGCTTAATCCCTCAAAAATTACTCGGTCACTGAATAGAACACTTTATTAGTTTACTTTTATCGTCATTCCTGATAAATTTTTTTTATTTTTTCCTTCAAGTCAGTCATCTTACCAGACTAAGACCAGACCAAACAGTACGCCTTACCATCTTGGAATGGGTCGATTCTGGACTTTGTCAATCGTGAATCGCGGTCATGCAAGTGGCTGGATCACCCCTSAGTCATTGCAGATATATAGGATAGATTTAAGAGCATTTATTTTAAATAATCTGCTTTTCCTGGGCGTAGGTTAAAATTAGACTGCGGTAGATGAACACGAAGATAAGTTGGAATTTACGTTATCATTCCTGCCACACTTGTATGTTACGTTATGCTCTGCAAGTGGAAGTCCTAACTACGCCCCGCGGTTTTCATTAAGATATTCGTTGGAAACTGAACTGAAATGGAATTCTTGAGAAGAGCCGGTTGACATCAAAGTAAGCCCTGATTTCTTTTTAATTTGAAAATCGCTTTGTTTCTAAAAATGAAGGAACATTAAGATAACCCCGCTGTCCCACGGTTTCCTCCCCTTCTTGAGTTATCGCAACAGGTACTCGGAAATACGTCGCCATTCATTCAACTTCGCCAAAATTCAAAACTCATTAATTCTGCGTTACTTACCTCCATGGGCTTGATAATGAAGCATCCTAGCGAAGTTAGACAACCCAGACAAACTATCTAAACCTCTTACTTATATTTCATATGTCCGGGGATCGTCGTTGAAAGCTGAATACCCATCCTTCCGTCCTGTAATACGCATGCCCAGTTCGAACCATCTGACTATGTACATATTATATACATAAATATACTAACGTGACTAAATCCCAGAGAAATTAAACGTTCTTTTATAGGACTGTTAATTTAATTCACCACTAAAATCACGAATGCAAAAAAAAAAAAAAAACTTTGTCTTTGAGAATCAAAGAAGTGAGCACTGAGTGGAAACTATACTTAACATTAACCCTATTACCGTGGTGGAAACCAGATAAATCATTTTAAATTCGTAGTGGTTAGGTTAGGGGAAAGAATTCAAAAAAATTGGTACGAAAATATTTTTTTTATTTGTCTGTCTTTCTGTCTGTCTCTCTACATTTTAAACTCTTTAAAAAAATTTTTTTTTTCGTTTTGTTACACTGTTGGTTGAGCCTCACCGATCAATGCCGATTAATAATTGCCGTCAAACAAACCTTACTCCATATGACTTTGTAACGATACTTAAGAGAAAATCTTTACAGAATTTCCCTATACACTATTTTATYCACTATTATTGCTTGACCACGACATTTACAAGGTCCATCTATACTGAATCACTATTTACAGTCTGTTAATTTTCTTGACAGAAGTCTGTGTCTAATTCTTATTTTACCAGTTACTTCCGTCTATAGAGAATGCATCTACTTYGTTTATCGGAAATCCGGGATTTTCTTTGCTTGATTTTCTAGGCTAAAAATTGCGAAGCTTTATAGAACATCGATCTTGGGATATCTATTTGGAACGGTATATATAGGGCTTAAGCAAGTCATTAGCAGACGGTATTTTTCGACTAATACATCTTTCCGCTATGTGTGCCAGCTCGTGTTCATACGGTTCTGCACTTTCAAATTACCCAAGTGTATTCCACACCTAGTGATGAAAAAATAAATTTTGTAACTTTAATTTTAATTTTTTATTTTTTTTATTTTTTCGGATTGGCGTTCCTGTTTCTATAGGGACAACTATGTATCTTATTAGCACACTCTGTATAAAAAGACGCAATAATTAATACAGCTTTTTTTTTCAAGGTAATACATGCTCATCGGGGTACTCTATTACCATACAAGATGACCACTTACCGCCACATCATTACTTTTCTGGACTATCATAGCGGTGCAAAACCGACTTCTTATTAAGCGAAAAACAATCTGATATTTAGCCGARCTCAATTCGTTTTTCAGTCCTCGCATGCGTACCGCTTCATTTAATCCCAGCGGTCAACAATGTTTGCGGYGACCTTTATTATGGAGAGAACAATAGCTACCGCCCCCTTTCTCAGTAGGTTTTGTTCTCTAAATTAGTTAATTTTTCACAATTAAATCCTTTACAATTTATTAAATTCGCATCACAAAATCCCGAATGACTTGGCGTAAATAGTCTTCTTTTGATCAGAGCGCAGATGGAGTTCGTTGTGCCGACAATCGAGCCGGGCAACAAGGTTCCATGTGAAGCAAGGATATTATTTACGTTTTTTTCAATGCTGATCCTTCAATATATATACAAAGATTATGCGGATCGCTCCTAAATAAGCTTGTTTAATTGAGTAATATTTCCATCTGCCTTTATTTTCGTGCAACCAAAAAGAGACTTAGTCCAGCCAACTTAAATTTGACCTTTTGAAGAAAGCAGTTTTATTACACGGCATCGGCAGTCTATGTACAGCTTATACTAAGTGCCGGTCTAGATTGGAGTCTTAGAACACTTAGAGTAGAACTTGATTGGAAGAAGGTTTATAAGAAGGTTTACATTAAACTCACGCTCCGATAAATCACTGAATGGACCAATTATCAGCAGCTTTTTCATCAATATTGGAGATATACATCAGGATGGAAAAACACGGCGCCCCCTGTTTGTGTCCTAGGCGGCTTTAGATTGTAATGTTATTAGCGTCTAAGAGTATCATTTCGTTCAATTAAACCATGGTTCGTTTGTTGAATTGCGGCACTTTGAGACGAGCTGCAGAAAACGAGAAAAAGTGACCTTTCAACCACATRCGTTTTACTGAATGACTGGGCAATTAACTGAACGATATCCCGCAACCACTTGCAAAGCAGGACACCAGTTAGTCATTTCTCCTAAGAATTTTCTAGCATTCCTCACTATCTTTCAAAGTGCTAAAAGAAAAGAAAATCGTCTTTAAGAGGGCGTGAGATATACGCAAACATTAATTCCTTTTCGAATTTCCGGGGCAGGATTTCTTAACTAAACGTTACCATAYCAAACCGCAGGCATTACTATAACTCATAAAAAGATTACCAAGGTCGCGTCCACAGGTCAGAAGGGGGCATCCGGCGAATTATGGGTAACGGACAAGTTAGCGAACTCACTTGCTAAGGTCTCCGTTTCTCCCAAGTTGCCTGGATATTGCTAACACAATTAGCGCAGTTTTAGAAGACGCCGCGAGCCAATCACGTTCAGGCGTTGATAAAATTTATAAAGAGAAAGTTAGTGACTTGCACTCTCAAATATTCAGTGATCCGATGAAGCGGGAGATTCTGAAAGAGACTATTTAAAGGAAAGTGTGCGTTGTTTTATTGAATTGACAGTTTTTGGTCATACCTCGGGATCTTTTCTTGCCTTTATATCTTGGTTATCTTCTGGAACGAACAAGCAATGAAGTCACTGACATCATTCGCCGTTCTCTTGTGGCTCATGATAGATTTGAGTGGAAGTCTAGTGGTCCATTCCGGACAGAGAAATGCATTTAACTCAAGAATATGGAGATTGCGATTGCAAGCCGCAGTGAGGTTGATTCGCCAATATCCATGTATTAACTGGCGATCAGGCAACAGTTGCACCAGTACCCGTCAAGTTCCCGTGCAAAAAATGAATATATACATCGCTACGAAACACCAACAAAACGAACAATTGACGGCCAGACTACCAGATCGTAAACACCGCAGTCTGCTACCAAACAGTCGTAATATACACAGCGTTTTGGCTATCGATCCTTATCCTGAGGCCAGCTTCGGACATCTTGTATACATCTTCTTCGTGGAAGAGAATGCAAACCACCTCAACTGCACGCAAAACAGCACAGCGATTCTTACTGGTGAGTACAGAACTTTTGTTCTTAAACTATTTAGTCTTTTTGGTGCCCTTATAACAGGACTCGTGTATTTATGACAGTTTTGTAGTGCAAGCTTGGAGCTTGGCAAGGCTACGGCCGATCAAGAAAATACGTAGTAAAATGAAAAATATGAATAATGTGATGGGCAATGCAAGTTTAGTTCCAGTTAATGTTTGAGCAATGTCAGAAGCCTATTAGAAATCCAAAATACCTTGGTTTTACTCAGAGTTATAGAAAAACAAAACACTTATGATTTGTGCACTCGTAACCTTGTAATATAATAATATAAACTCAGTCACTCTTAGTAAAGCATCATAACTCAGTAAAAAGATTGTTATACGTATAATACAGYTAATCCGGATTTGTTAGTCGCCCCGAAGTCGGACGTTTTCTTTGCGCTTCATTCATTGAGTTTAATTCTCTCATTTAAGCATCTGGGGACTGTATRATAGCCGCTACTAAAACGCACTGCCAGAATTCAGTTGACGAGAGGAAACGAAAAAARTGTTACATCGACTTCCTGCCCCATGTTTTCGTTGCTGGCGACCCAAGTCGGACCCAGAAACTAGTTTGTCAAGATCGACTTTTTGGATTTGGCAAGTGCAGGACTTTGACGGCTGCTCCGCCACTTCAGTGTGYCAATTCTCAACGCTGCCCTTATCCACCTAAAGCCCCACCAAAGACTTGCACCTCCAAGAGATGCGACTATGCCGTGTTAGTGTCCGGAGGATGGAACCCCTTGACAGCTCATTCTCGCCATGCAACAAACGTACAACTTTTCTGGAAATTCCTGCTTCATAACAAATTCAAAAAGGAACACATCACAACGTTTTATGGCAGCGACGGCAAAATCGAGCGTAAGTAAACCCTTGTGTTTTCATTATTGATTAGGTGAATTACCGGTCCTAGACCTTGATATGAGTCACTTATCGCGGCATTTGGAGTGCTAAATGCATCTGATGCAAATCTCGGTCGGCAAGCCCCGTTCAAAGCTGTTTAATGAATGTGGATGTGAGTGGCTTTGTTAACACCAATCTGGCTTTTCAAATGTTTAATTGCTCTATTCTACGATTCGGTTTGTTCATAGGAGTCCTAACTCTTTGATGTTCCTACGAGAAAAAGARTGACATGCCAAAATATAATTAAAAGTGCACTAAATCTTCGCGCCGCTTGGCTTCCAAGCGCTAATTTTTTTTCTGAAAAAAGTGTTGATGTTCTTTAGCGGCACAGATAAACGATTCGAAAATGTGATAACTAGCAAGCAGGTCACATAAAGTTCAATAGGGTCTCCGTAATTAATCTTAAAGTAAAGACGCAGTCGATTTCTTAGYAGTTCCAAAAGAAGTGTCGAGATTTTTTTCTCCTACGCTTACTTCTTATCTTTTCAACGTAGATATAAAAAGCACCTTTGATCCTACAATTGTATAAATCATCTTTAAGATAACAGARGTCTACAAGTTTAAAAATCCTTTTTATAAACTGGATTTGACTATACCAAACATAAGCAGATGTTATTTCAATATATTGCAAATTTTTAGTTTTCTATTTCTATAAAGTGCTAAGTGAAGTCGGTGCGCCAGTAGCATCACATCAAAGTCCTTCCGACCATACAAAAAAAGTCGCTAATCGCAGCGGGAAGACCATAGCTTGTTTTTTCTATCTCGAGGAAGTTAAAAGGGAATCAGCCTGCCGTACGTAGCAACGTCCAACTAAGATGTTTATCATAGATCACGGGGTTCGATCTTTCTRGCCAATAAGGGCACGTCACTGAGTTTGATCATTTTCCCGCTTCCTTCGTTTTTCTCTCATCATACATAAAACACTCATGTTCAGTCTGCCATAATTGATGTAACAAGTGGTCCGTGAGAAAGTACTTGAAAGAACTTTAGGTTTTAACATAAGGCAAAATGCTTAAAGTCCAACCAAGCTAAAATTCGCATTTGCAGACTTTTATAATTATCACTTTTTTAGGCTTTGTGTACTGGACTTTTTAGGACAAACTTTTTTACGTGTTCATTGTCGGGCCGCTCCTTGAGTATACACAGAACGTGAAGAGMATATCAAACAACTAATATCTTTATGAGTGAACGTGCACACACAACATTAATTTCATTAGTCACTAAAGAAACGATTACAAAGAAATTAGAGCATTAAAGTACCGGTATTGCGGAATGAATAAAAAAGGAAGCTCGCCGTACACGTACGCTAGATGCATCAATAATTTCATTTTCACGTAGTAAAATCAATTAATGTTTAATTTACCCTCAGGATATTTTAGCATATACTTGTGAAATACATTTTATCACGATCATTTTTGTAATCATAATTTAGGAAYGTTGGAAACAAAAACTTAATAAAGCCTTTGTCCGCTATATTTGGTTTTTGAGATCTTCATTGCCCAATTCGTTTCGCGGGACATWTGGCAATAAAACATAGAGCTTCTAGACAATAAACTGTGCTTTTCTCATAAACTCTTTCCAACTTGTTAAATTTAAGGCAGCACGTAGATTTAATGCAAACAACAGCCGTTATAACCCCCCCCCCCCCCTCCCTCCCGTTTTTCTCTAACCATCAGTCCTCCTTTCTCTCTCTAGTCTCGGATGGTAGAGAAGCACCATGAATGAATGCACGACTTATCGATCTTCTGAAAAGCTAGAGTTTCAGCTGTTGCCAGGCAATAACCCAAAAARAATTAATGGCTCTTAATGATTTTAAAAATAACAAAATTATTTTTCATCCATATATTTATCATCGGAGCAGCTCTCATTATTCTTATTGAGGCGCTAAGATCGTTAGACATTCTGTACGTGTGCCCGAAGAACCGAAACGCGTGCCAACACAGCAGCACCTGATTTCAATTTGATTTTAATTTCAAGTTCGTCATTAGCGACATTTAATATATTTTGATTTGTTTTTGTTGGGAACGTGCGGTAGCAATTCCAATGCAATTTTCTTTTATCCCCTCAGRCAAAATAAGTTCACGTACGAAAAGACTTGACCATCTGTAGGTTGATATAATGATCTAGAACATGTAATTTACCACTGTTGGTACTATTAATAGAGGAACTGCTTATGGCATCTGGCACGATTTTAACTCAGTTATTTTTGACGATATCGGCTCGTTTTTTGTGTTGGTTTTTTTCCATTGCTTTCATAATGCCCCTGCTGATTATGCAATGCAAATTTTGCGTTTGTTGCTTCTTTCTTCCTTTTTCATTTTTATTTTCCTCGTCAATTCCTTTTCTCTTTCCTTTTCTTAACGTRTTTTTTATTTTTCTTTCTTTCCTTGTCTTCTCTTTCTTTCTCCAGTCCTCTTTTTCCCGTCCTTCTCCTCCTTACTTTTTATTATCTTTCACAAAAACTAGTACCCCAAAAGAATTTATATAAAAGGATTCAGTGCATTACATGACAAAGTTTCTCGTTTATAGGGCTCCCGTTCATAGCAGTACTTTTGTTACTGAAGAGAATACCCTGCTTAAATANAGGTTTTCATTCATTCATTACYTTAAACTACGTACATTGAATATAAAAAGTWTATAAGGCGTTTATATCATCTGCTKTCTATAATAGCGGCTTGCTGATCTTATCATGTTCAGTGCTTTTTCYWCAAKCAAAAGTAACTATGTACGATTACGTATCTTAGTTTTATGAGTATTGGCTAGGTCAAGTGGCTAGGCGTTTCTTAACTTTTCAATCGCCTATTAAAATGCATTCCCGTCGGTTCTTTCCAAGTTAGGTCACCATTTGTCATACTAGATGCATATTTGAGTCATCGTGATATCCACAGTAAAGCAGTCATGAAACGTTAGTTATTTCGGTATAATATCACCGCGGACGTAGCAAGATGCTCGCGATTCAGTGATCAAAGGAAGCGCACGGCATTTCTTAAGTGGATTTATTGTAAATTTATTCGACTTAAGACACTAAGAACGTCTATGATTTCGAGATTAAATACTTATTTGAGCATCTTTACGTATTAGTGAATTAAGAAGCCACGAGTAAGAAAATGCCCACGCTGTAAGGAAGTGCCGAACAGTCTTCGAACAAAAAAAAAGTGCAATGTATAAAAACGTGCATTTTACACTAAGTGACCGTGGTCAACTTCGATAACAAGGACTCTTGAAAGTATTTGATACCGTGTTCCTGCATTTAAAGACAGCTATTTCAATAAGAAATTAAAAAGACTATAAGCTACAAAACAAACCAGCGAAAAATAAACATTAAAAGAAACTAAATCGGTCTTTTGACTTGGCCAGTTTGGGCCGYTAATTTTTCTGTGAAACAAAAGGTAACTCATGCTGTTTCTGTAATTACCTGCGACGCGATTCGCATTTGGCTGCTGAATTGCTTTAGATTATTCTAATGTTTATGCGGCAAASAAAAGACCCAAGGGCTAATCCTTCTTTAGCTAGCTCAGCTTGTCAARTATTGCTTAGTTTTGATGAGAAAATGTAACTTTTTCATCCGATTAAATCATAGCTCACATGTAGGGAAYCTAACCCTCAAAGTCCTTATTATATCCATGCAGTTAAGCTAAGTTATCGTTAGAGTTAACCAGTAGTTCCCCATTATTGCCTTTTATATTCTAGTATTTTAACCTTGACATCCGAAAAGAGGTCAAGTTGTAAATCCACACCCAAGGGGGCAAAATCAAGAACAAAAATTCAACACAATCCTTTCTTTTCTTTCAATGGCCATAATATTTTATCGCAAGAAAACATTAACTTTATTGGTTTTGGTGATATTCATTTTTTGCGAAATTTTAACGATTAACAAACATCTCAATGGAAACCACCTTTCACCTATTTAGCTGAGTGGATTTTTCAAGAATGTATACATTTTTGTTGCAGTTGATGGCAACCCSAAAACAACTCGAGATGCCTCGGCAGCTATGACTGATTTTGGAGTGACCGACTACATTGATAAACTTTGCAAGGCACGTTGGTGCGTGGACACTTTGGTACTCTATCTGACAGGACCAGCAAAGAGCAATGGGGCTCTTTTGATGTGGGACGTTAATGGTGATGGACTTACAGAAAACAAAGAAATGTTTGCCGTCCACGAAATTTTTAAACATCTAAAGGGCTGTACTGCCAAGCGTGTTTATATTATTGCTGATTATAGTTACTCTGGTCATTTGGTCCATAAACTCGACGAGCTTTCAAGGTCAAGTCATAGGAGATCTTATGAGCACATCACCGTTGTCGCTTCGTCGCAGGCAAACGAATACTCGTGGCGTAATGACTTCACTCAAACACTCATCAAATATGGCAAACAAACCACAACACGCTGCATWAAGCAACTTTTTCAGGTAATTAATTGATAACCAATGATTTTTAAACAACTATTGATTGATTKATTGAACATTTGATAAGGGGGTTTTCCGTTGCCATTATTAGGCTTCAAAAGCGTTGCTTGACTGGCCGCAACACGACAGATATCTACGAAATAAGTAGACACGAAATAATGTTTTTTTTTTCGGTGTTGTTGTTGTTGTAGTTGCTTTTGTTTGTTGTTGTTGTCGTTACGTTGTTGCCTCTGTAGTAGKTATTGTTTTAGACCGTCTTCAATTCGGTTAATCGTACAGATAGCACAAATCGACCTTTTGTCTCCCGCCAGAGGTCTTTACTCGCGCTAAGCGAAAATTATTCAAGCGCAGTTAATAAGCGAGCAAGTCTCAAGTGAATCCAGTACTGGATATATAGCGGGATGAAGACCTTATGGTCAAAGTGCACATGATTAGCACACTAGATCATAGACGAATAAAATGTCCGATGCTCAATAGATCGACATCATCTATTTTTTAGTAAATATATGTCCACTTTTTTTTTTTTTTTTCATTCTTAGAATAAGACGTGATTTTTTTTTTTCTTTTTTTCAGGACGTAAAGTCAGACTTTCAAATTCGGCGACATGTGTCAATACCCTCATTTGGCGAGGGCTCGTTACATTCTGGAAATTTAACAATATACGGAGGAAACTGCGGYCTTCCTTGGAGCCAAGCGTCACACGATATGGGCTGCAAAGTCATTCCAATTACAGACTTTAGATACAGACCCAAACACAGAAACTCGTAATCGACCTATTTTACTCATAAAGCTCATTATTGTAAATAGAGAAGAAAAATCCAAATATAACCAYTCTGTGTTTGAAACCATGCTGTGAAAACCATTCAGTTAACGACRTGAGGTAGACTGATCGAATCCCTAAAGATGAACAGATCTCATGAAACTGAAAACAAGATAGGTTTRGAAAACAGCATCAAAAGCAAAGCCTTTTTTAAATCCATTTTTTCCTTTTTTTTTTTCGTTCGCTTGGGCTGAATGTTTGACCGAAGTGCATGTTACGATGAAGTCTTTGTTTTGTTTGTTTGTTTGTTTGTTCTTGTTTTTCTTATTTTTTGAAGTTGAGAAGTAAGATTATATTTTTTATTCCCATAAACTAAGAAAGATATTTAAATTCAACAATTGAATCAAGATGTATAGAGTAGCAAGGCCTGATCCATACAAAGGMCGCAAATATAATGTACAACCCAAAGGCCTTCTTCAAGAGTATTGTTTAGTTCGTACAAATGAAACTGCAATCCACATAGTAGTGCTAATGATAGGCTGGCTTGTAGTATGAATTAGCTTGTAGTTTCTTTCCCCTAGGGAATATATATAGTCGAGCGCTAGCTTTTTTGCATTTATTTTAATTCATTTAAAAACATTTTAATGTTTGTGGGTGCTTTGATATATTTCGTTAATTTTTTWAAATTTTTGTTGGTGTTTTGATGTGATTTGATTTTTTATTACGTTGCCCTTTTTCAATCAAATTGCATTAGAGGGTTAGTTTCTTTAGCTTGATTCAAAAGAAACCTATATCGAAGATTCGTAATAATTGTAGTATATATTAGAGCGTGTTTCAGATAAATGGGTACGGTTCTGGCCGTACCATGTTATGCCATAACCTTGACTACGATAAAGCAAATGAAAACAATAGAGCAGGTGTATGTTACGTCATTGCTGCCATCTTGGTTGACGATAACAAAGCATTTCTCATTAGCTGCTCTTGTTAGATCAACCAAGATGGCGGCTTTTTCGATGTTATTCATACCTCAAGGGATTTTGAGTCACATGGTTGCAAACACTCTATTTAAAATGTTTTGTAAATCAACATTTTAAGTTTCCCACTCATACGAAAGGCACGCAGGTCAAATGCATTGATTAGCGGGGATTCAAAGCATGCTCAACGCACTTGACCGCTGAATAACATAACATTATTCAACTAGTAAACAAAGAACTATTATGAAACAGCCTTTACAGTTCTTCAATTGCTTAATAAACCGCCTTGACGACGGGATGGACAATCACTTGTAACGCCTTCAACGTTTTTWAATCTAGCAATATTTTTATAACCTGTGTTTAATACTATCAAATGTGACTAGCAACAAATAGTATTTCTTTAATGTAGATGAAATATTGCATACTAAAATATGAATTTGCTTGATTGTAAGTATAATTATGTAATTTAAAAATATGTGAAAWATTACGTGCGCAACTTGTGCAGATTTTTGGCTAGTTTTGCGAGTGGTATATTGTCAAATTACGCCTTATTCAAATCTTAAAAAAAGATCGTGAGAGTGGCAATACTGAACACGAGGTCAATTTCCCCAGAAAACTAAGAACGGTGCGATGGGTTTTGGAGGGAAAAAAAAAAAAAAAAGTCGTCACTTTTAAAATAGTTGRTTCTTGTTGATCTGAACAGACGTGCAAGATAAGTATCATGCAAAATGCACTCAGTTTTGGAAAAGGTTAATTAGCCTCCTTTTCAACACAACTATCTTCCTAAGATATGAATATGACTTAAATTGATAATTAATAAAGCGAATGCGAATACACCAAGAGTTATCAGCACAAGGCCTGGWCTAATACTAGAACAGTTGTAACAAGATTTAGACTCAACTATAAGATAGTAGTTATGTTATGTACATCAAATGCATTGTCATGYATGACTGATATAATAAAGTAAATAGATTTCAATAAAAGCGGTATTTTGATATATGTATATATACACTTCAGGCTCAAATTCCACGCCCATTCTTGCATTAGAGTTTCTATGCAATCAAACTCTTAAAGCTTTCAAGAGAAACTGTAAAGTAAAACGGCATTTGAACTCTGCATCTAACACCTCTTTACCTTCTACCTCAGATTTATTCACCTTTGTATCAATGAGCTAGCTTTATTTCTCAATGATCTGAGTTCGAATTCCATCTAAATCTATAGTCAATTATGGACTGTACATCACAGCTACGATAGAGTCACGATCAGTTTACACTACTGTTATCTTTCTACCAATGTTTTTCTTTTTTTACTAACCAAACCTGTGACTGAAGTATACTTATATCACAATACATTTCTTAAGTCTTTAAAAAGCAGCACGGTTGCTAAAGGTAAGAGCTGCATTTTTAACAATTCAAATTGCACAACCACTTTAGACTGGCTTTAAAAGTCATGCGAAAATTCAAGTAAAATCTTGATACAGATTAACAAACTCTAATTTAACTTTGCTACGCATATATAGAATGGCATATGACTTATACTGTTCAGTTTATTATAAGTAAAGTTAAATGTCCCCAAAATTGGCATAATCACGGAACGAATCCAGATATTTTTGGATGATGTTGTA